CCACGCCTACTCCATCTCAAGACATAGACAAGGAGTGTAGGTGTCCACAACTGAAGGGGGTCGTACCCACACCTCTTACAGGGTTCCTACCGAACAGCCACTTTCTCTCAACCTGATAGCGGACGCTTATCATACCGTTACTAGTAAAATGAGCGCAATTTCACTCTGAGGCGGCAATCATCTAGAGGCAATGGTTTCTTGTGAGGTCATGGTATCTGAAAACAAGAGGCAAAACGAATTTAAGTTTAAAATAGTAGTTTTACGTCCCTAGGCATAGCGATTTGTTAAGTCCTACGACTTTGCATTCATAAACGATTACGGCCTCATAGAGCTACTGAACCGATTAAGTGTTTAATCAAAAGGAGAAATAAAGAAACGCACTTGATTCCGCCGTACTCACTTTCGCATTGAAAGCACTCGATCGCACCGATGGTATGAATGACGACAAACAACAGAATGCAGCTGAAGAAGAGCAATGACGATGACGACAACGCGGCCATCACCAAGTCACATCTAAAGGATGTGGACGGAATTGCCGACGTAGAAGAAGCGAAGCGAAAACGTCACATAGCAGGCAAGAAATTGGCGGATGTCGCTGGGAAAATTCGTTCAACGGCCGTTCACTTACGCCCTCGAGCCAGGCGTGGCTTGGCTCAGCTCAGCCGACCCTCTAAGAGGCTTCCCCATCAACAGGCAATGATGTTCGCAACGGAAAAGCTTGGCAACACACTTTGGTAAATACTAGTCAAGCACGATAACGTAGTGTATCGATTCATCTCTCAATAAATGCTGAAGCAAATGTCGGCATCATATGGCAGGATCACATTTATGCATAAGAAGAAGAAGACACTTTGTAGCGAGTTATTGCTCATTCAGTAGAATTGTTAAGCTTAAAAGTTACTCTGTAGGCACCAAGTTTATAGTAATTATCGTGACTATTCTTCGATTATTCATTCTAGCAAGGGATAGCAGTTGAACTATTGCAGATTCCCTATATTTCTTTATACAATCCAACCTTCCATCTGTCTTTTTTCACCTGGTTTTCTTCATTTCCTACCATATCTTTCTCAATTTTGTTGATCTACGACTTTCCTTTCAGCCATAGCATGTCATTCGGAAGATATGCCTTCATCCCATATTTATAATGGGAGGGCGTGGACTGCGCTCATATTTTCTTCGAAAGTGGCGGCGGTGCCCATTTCGTGGCACCGAGCAGGGCACGTCGTTCGTTGGGATCCCCCCCTTCTCGGCGGTAGTTTATCAGGGAAAAAGTGCGCGAAGTTTAGCAAGAAAACTTGTAAAGAGAGGTAGGAAATTGGGCAAATTCAGGGAGATGATCAATAGGATTGGCAAGTGGGGTCGCATCAGAGTTGGAAGTTTGAAGGGGGTCGTATTGCAAAACTTCTCCCCAATAGCAGGACGTGTCCTGTGTGTAAGCAACTTTCTGGCAACAATTCTAGGCCTCACCTACTGAACACATAGTGAACCTATTGAGCTTTAACCTGATCCCGGTCATCGGTGGACACTGCCGAAATGGATGCCACACCTGCGATTTACGCAGCAGTCTGGCAAGCGAATCTAGTGTCTATAGACACACTGGGAAGCTCTTTAGCTCAACGTAATGGGTGGCAACGAGAGTGGTGTGCCTCACACGAACCATGACTGTAAAGACTCCTCGAGTTTCTCTCGAGATAAGCCGCCTATACGTCTTCATGCAAACCAGGCATCATTGTTTGTTAAAGAAACGACGAATGATTCTGCGCGACATTGCTAGTGGCAGTGGCGGAAACATTCTAATCAAGTACGAAAGATGATCCTCGTCATGTGTCACTTACGCTCAAAAAGGTCCAAGTTCTTCCAACTTTAAGACAACAGACGCTCACATGTTGCGAAGGTGAACGCCGAAAAATTATAGCTTTCGATTGAAATCAGGCCAAACCCAGCTCACTAACCACATCAAACCCCTCTGGACGTTCCTTATTGGGCTTAATGCTCGAGTGCATCAAAAGGAGGGCAAAAGATTTCATCTCCAAAGCGAGAGCGAGTGAGCGAGTGCTTCTTTCCATCACTGGCAGAATAGAAACTGCCGAACCCGTGAGCGGGCACATGCTAATAACCACTTCATTGTTTAAAGGCACTGATCAGTAAGAGAATATTCAGACTCTCGTTCAAAGTGACGCGCAGGACTTCTTGATCAATCATGACAGCTCCACAGAAAATGTGAATAAAACAGCTACTACAAACAGTGTAAAATAATTTTTTTTCGCCGCTGAGCAGTCCCTTTTGAGATTCGGCACGCTGGGATGCGGCACACGTTCTACTCAGGACACATCGTCGTTGGAGATTCCTCTCCGGAGGGGGGGGGGGTGGGGAGGGAGTGGGGGATTCGTATTTGGTCGCTGGGAGAGAGGATTGTATTTGGGCCAAGAAAAAATTTTTGTTAGTTGATTTATGTGATTGTCTCCGGCTGTGTAAGTGAGGGCTTTTAAGGGAGGTCGTATTTCCTCCTCTTTGGGAGAAGAGCAAGAAGAGGGTCAGGAATTTCCGGAAAAAGGCTGTAAGGAAGCACGGGGGTACATCTAAAAATTGGTTAGGAGAGAAAGACGTTTTCGCTTCACGCTTTTTCGGCATTTTCAGATGTGCTACTCACTCTCTCCTCCCCCTCTGGTTTCCTACCGCCGACTACTCTAAACGAAGGTCGCGTCAGCCAACGAAGTTATTACCAACCAGAAGTGAGAGGTAGCGTACAAGCAGCGCGCTTGGCTATGCTTAGGCGTGCCACTGACCGCTGCGGTAGCGCGGGTACTACAGCTGCGAAGCCATTCACCTTGCAAGGGTGAGAATACGTGGGTGTGAGTGTATGAGAAACGTGCGAAAACTTCTTCCAAATGATAGCTGGACCCTGTAGATAGAACCAATATACATACATATACATGCTTAGTGGTACGTGTGCAATGGATGTCGCCGCCAAAACTGATTTGTGACGTCGACGCCTCTGGCGTGGGCGCCAGCAGTCGCAAAGTTCATGTGCAGGTGGTTAGAATACAAAAGGAAACACGTTAGACGATAGTATCGCAAGGGAAAATTTTTTGTTGAAAATAGGGCTTCAATTTGAACGAGCTAAGCAGTAAGCGTTTCAACAGTTCGAGAAAGATTTAGAACGAAAGCTAATTTACCCAGCGACAATCTCTGCCTAGTCCGGCCCTGAACCATTGGATTCGTTCCTTTCTGCTTTGTCGAGAAACAGGTATCCTTTAATTCTCCGGTGCAGTGCCCTGCAGGAGTTTATTGCACCTCACTTCCTCTCGAAGCGGATTGTCTCAAAAACAGGGCCAGTCCGATGGTTTTTGAGTGGCCGCAGTAGTGCAGATATCGAAAGGGCAATTTCACAGTTGAATAGTTTCACATTCGAGTTTCCTACCGTATTTCAAGAGAACAGGAAAAAAGTGAATATGAACTCAGACAGCCTTTAGCAATATATGACAAGAGTTATTGTCAAAGCGCTCGCCAAGGATGACAAGTTCGGGACGGAATTTTCAAACGAGTCCCATGAAATGACTAAAAAAGTCTATATGGAAGGAGACCAACAGACGGGGAACGCAAAGTCGATGTGTCGTCGAGAATCGTGTTATCCAATTGCTTTGTGTCAAGCGTCAACACAACACTCACAAGGACTTCAGACAGCTGCAAAAAGCTAACACCCCACCATGCCCTCGTACTAGGAAATCTCCATAGAAGAGGGATTGGGCAGAAGCTTGTTTGGGCAACAATTAATCAGATACAACAATTTGGTATCTTTTTAGGGACGCTTCCCCACGCGCCACCTCGAAGGGTGGCCATATATCCAGTGATACCATCGGCGTTCAATTTATGCAGCACGAATCTCTTAACTGCTTCCAAATACATGCCTCTGCGGAAGAAGCTTCTGATAATTTAAATGCAGTTTGGCACGATAGTTCTTCAAGAAGTATAGAACTAATACGCCTTGTAGGACTGAACTCGGCGCCGCTGTGCAAGCGTCTAGTGACGCCTTCCCCAAGGTACACTCGAAATCCCTGAGATCCGGGTGGGTGCCGACACTACTGATTTTAAAATGGCGGCGGACCAGGTTATCTTGGCATATGTCATTTTGAGCGTTCGAATCATGCCAACAATTAACACAGGCAATGATAGCAGTTGCTTCTAGTTGCAGTATGAAACCGTTCTATGTACATGCTCAAAACACGGCCTTACTTCCGTCTCAGGATGAAGAAATTGTATCTTCATCAGTGCCCCTATCAGTGTACAACATAACCAACCCAGACGCCCAAACGAGCATAGATTCGTCGGACATTTGTGGCGCCGTCCCGCCCACAAAATGTCACGAGCCGACCTTCTAATGCTTTTATCGTTTCATTTGAGAATTACAATATGAGGCGATGAATTGAGTGTGAATCGGCAGTGATGCAGCATGGATCAGATATGAGCACACACTGCAGACGCATTTAGCGCAGCGGTCGAATTTGCTTTCTGCGTAGCCTAGCACCAAGGCTTTTTTCACAGGTTTCTGACCGTTTTACTGCGCTTTTTCGCCACTTTCCCAATTAGCACCCATGCTACCATCTAGACAGAGTAAAAATTACCCGTGCCAACTGCTTTGAACTTCGCCTCAGCTCTCAGAAGTAAAGCAAAAATGCACGAGTGAGTGGCCCCCTGCCGTTAGCTCCAGGTCATCCTTAGCCCTGTCCTCCGAACTACTCAACCCTTTTGATGCCCCCAGTCCGAAATAAACGCATACCGACTATTTTCGGACAAGACACTGGCTGAAAAGCTCCGGGGGTACTTCAACCTCCCGTGAAACATCGATCATCACATCTTGACCGTTGACCTGCCGGCATGATTGGTGCAGCGCACTATTTACCCTTTACTTGTCAATGCTCTATCAAAAAGCAGCCGGTTTTGACCGACTTTTTTACTGGCGTTGAGCAGAATGCCCGAAAAATTTGTTCCCTAGGGTAGTTTGATCTCACTGAATACGAACATCACAATCGCTCGCGCTGCGGAACCTCTGCGCTCCGCCACATGCGCCGGCGCCAAAATACTCTTAATCACCAAATTCGCTGAAAACTTGATTCCAGGGGTAGTCTGACCTCCTGAAACACGAATATCATATTTGCTTAGCCCGAAACCTTCTAGCGCCCGCGCTACAGGCGCTGGCGCCAAATTACCCCAAATCACCGGCGCCTGTGGCGCGGGCGCCAGGAAGTTTCAGACTAAGCGAATGTAATATTCGTATTCAGGCCGTCAAAGTACCTCGGCAGACAACAACTGAGCCAAATTTGGGTCCACAGAGAAAAAAGTCGCCGTAAAAAACACCGGTCCTCAATTCTGCCGTTGGTTGGGGCAGTAAGTAAATAGTGCCGGTAAGCACAGGCGTGATTAGTGCCTATTCTGCCAGTCGTGCGATCTGGATTAGTTTTTTAGACTTGTTTGATTGAACTACCCTTTCGAAGAAAACAGT